GGGGTAATTCAGCCTGCAGCATGCAAACACCGGCCCGAGCTGCCGTACCCAGAGCAGTTGACTTCCTTGTGCGGGGCGTCAGCAGGTGGGCTCTGTCCCCCTGTCCCTAACCCGGGTCCTCTCAACCCCACAGATAATCCGCGTGCAGTCGCCAGAAGGAGTGAAGCGCATCACGGCCACGAAGCGAGAAACGGTGGCGACGTTCCTCAAGAAGGTACCCCCGGGCCTCTCTGCGCCCTCCCCGCTCGCCCGCGGGACCAGGCAGGGCTCCCGCGGCTCAGCCTGCGCCGCCGCTCGCTCCCGTGGGAGCCACGGGCTTCGCCTCGGCGGGCAAACGCGGCGGCGGCAGCGCGGATCAGGGCGTGCCCCCTGGAAAACGGCGTTTTTATCGGTGTGGCCGAAACTGGTTTTCTCACTGTTGTTCCAGAGGGAAAATAACAAAATTAAAGACAAAAACTCACTCCACTTTTCACTTGGAGTCTCTGGGGGTGGGAGCTTTCCTTGGGGGGGGATGCGTTTTTAGCGTTCTCCCAAAGAGATGGCAGCTGGGGAAGCAGAGGCTGATGGTGACACAGGAAAGCTGTTTGACAGTCAAAGCCTGCCTGGCCTCTTCAGGCGTGACCCAGCTGAAGCTCAGCTGCTTGACTTGCGCTTTGAATATCGTTTGAATGTGCTTTGTGTGCCCCTGGCTTTCCAGCGTGGTTTCGGAGAGAGCAAGGAAGGAATTAAGGCGAGATCTGAAGGCAATGTGGGAGCCTCCGGGGCCTCCTGGGTAAGATTTCCACCCTGGGATGGGGAGAGCACGCGGAGTGTTGGAGTTGTCAGGTTTGGAGTTGGTTGTAGCTCGTTCTTTGGTCTGATGCAACTGCTCAGTGTTTAAAGTTTGCTATTTAAGAGTGAGCAGTTCTCCATTTCCTTCCCTCCTGGAACCTTTGGATTAGGATTTCTCTGCTTGGTAAGAGAAATTACTTTGTGTTCTGTGCCTGAAGAGCCATTCTTTTAGTCAGCGAGATTTCCTTTCCCCCTGCGAGGGGGAAGGGGAGCAGCCTGAAACCTGCTGTTGTTTGCGAGTTGTTTGCTTTGTTTGGAGCTTGAGCCCAGACCACGGCAGCAATCCCCACCTGACCAAGCAAAAATCCTGATGGATTTCAGGGCTGGGTCATAGACACCCACTTCAGGCTCTGACCAGTCTCACCCAAGGAGAAAAGCGTTGCTTTCAGAATCTTTGGAACCTGTGCAAAACAAGCTGCTCGGTTTCAAGGGTTCATGTTACCCGAGGCGGGGTGGAACAATCGTGCTTGCAAGCACTTACCGTCGGAACAAAAGCATCAGCACTCACTAAAATTGCCTGTTGATCTGGGGAAAACTATATCCTCTTGCTGAGCTGAATTTGAGAAATGTTTGGGTTTCTTTCTCGACACGGGCTTTACCTGGAAGGGGGAAAGCTGCAAATTTTACAATTTAAGATCAGTGCGTATTAATAGCTGTGGATTTTAACACTGAAATGTTCATCCATATGGTGGATTTTCTATTTAGCTAGATAGCTGTAATTAAGGAGCCATCAGATTGCTTCTATGCTAGCAATTAACTTGGATCTCCTCCTGATGACTCCAGAGAAGCTGCAGAAATGTGCAAGAAAGCACATTTCAGAGTGATAAGGGCCTCGATAATCCCTGCCTTTTGTAGCACATCCTAGGAAGAGAACTAAAAAATGAACCTCTCGGGTGTGTTCGGGTTAGAACTGAGTTAGGAACTAACTGGAGCCTTTTGCTAATGTAACGTGGAATTTGTCTGCCCTGCAAAAATTGGTGAAGTCTGTGGGCTGACGAGCCGATGTTTGATTCTGGCAGGCCTCACGCAGGAGACGGGGAGGGTTTGAAAGTCGTGCTCCCCTTCAGAGGGCAGATCGCTGCCTGCCACAAGTTGCTGCTCTCCGTGGGGCAGTGCTGTCTGTGGCTTGTTAGATTTGTGCTGTGTGCTGTGAGCCCTGCCGAATTTCATAAAAATAAAGGCCATTAACTTGAGAATTCAGGAAGAAACTTGTTGACTAAACTAACTTTTAACACCGCTTTTAAACTGATGATTGTTTTTAAGTGGCCAAATGTGAAAATTACTGTTGCTGTGAAGAGGCTTTTGACTGCTTAAGACGGAAGCAGCTTTAAACTGAAATAGTGAGAAGGATGAGCAGGGAAAAAAACCTGCCTGAGGACTGAGAGGTGATTGTGAGGGCAAGTTCCGTCAGGAGGAGACAGGCAGATGGAGACAACTAGAAAGGAGAAGAGCAGGAAGAGCTTGAGTGAAACTTGTGTAGCAAGTGGTAGGCGAGAGCAGAGCTGAGGGCAGGAGATCCTCAGAGGTGAAGGTCTGGACTGAGGAATTCTGGTCACAGGAAGACGAGGCTGACTTGGCTGGGGTGTGCTGGCAAGGCTGGAGGGAGAGAGCTGGGCTCGTGGAGAAGGTAGTTTCCCCCCTCTAGTCATGACAGCGCTTGCCTGGATTTAAATAAAAATACGGCATTTGTGTTGTGCGAGTGAGAGACACGTTCTGTTTAGGTTGCTTTTTTAAATAGATTGCTTGTGTTACTAAGCGTTTCTATTTTTCTCAGTTTTATCCTGTGCTCTTCGGGAACACGAGTGAATTCAGCTAAAGTTTTGCAATAGAAGTTCCCTGGACTTAACGCTTGCTCTGAGCAGCTTTCAGCATCTGTCCGGGGCTGTGAGGTACCTTAAACCTCGTCGTTAAACCTCAAATTCTTCTCTCTCTTTCAGGTCGCGAAAGAATTTGGTTTCAGGAATAATGGGTTTTCTGTCTACACCAATAGAAACAGGACAGGAGAGATCACAGCCTCACAAAACAAATCCCTCAACTTACTGAAAATCAAGTGAGTCCTGTCGGAGGGTGCTGTGGGTGGAGGGGGGGGGCGGTTTGCACAACAGGGCACCTCTTCTCGGAGCTTGCCCCGACTCTTCCCTCCCGGGCAGCAGCAGACAGCGTCGCCCTGCAGGAGTCCGGAGCTTTCGGCTCTCACCACCTGCTTGAAGGGGTGAGCTCGATGGACGTGCCGAAACTGGGGGGGGATCAAATTGACTCCGCGTGAGGCTGTGGCAGCCATTTTTTTAGGTCACTTCTTGCCTTGTGTTTCGTTGTTGGGGTGAGGCAGCAGCAGGCCTCCCGTTTCCTCTTTCACAGCCCGCAGCAAGCGCCCTCATCCCTGCATTTCCTCACGCTGTCCTTTTTTTTTTTTTTCTGCACCAGCGCCAGAGTGTGATATTCCCCTGGGCAGAAGCCAGGCTTCCTGCCTTCTGTAGCCAGCCGCCGAGGGAGATCAGAGGTGCCAAATGGTGCAATCGCTTCATGGTTGGGAATGTCTTTGTTTTGTTTATGTCAGGAATAACGTTAAACCGGTTAAAAATACAAGAGCTGCTCCCACCGCGTGAGCTCGTCCCTTGGGTGTGTCAGCACTGGCAGCTGCCTCGGGAAGGCTGGGACTTGATGTGCACAGGAGCCTCACTGGTTGGAGCTGCTGCTTCTCTCCATAAGCTCCTTTCACCTCTTTTTTTGTTTTGGTTTTTTTTTGTTTTTTTCCCCTCGATCTTGTCTCCTAATGAAAAGATTTACATTTCTTGTGCAGAAGACCAAAGCAGCCAAAAGAGGTGGCTCAGGGAACAGCCTCGGACTGCCACGTTTGCTAGTCTGTGTGTAATTTGTGATAAATTACGTGTTCCTCCGTGCTCTGGGAGATTTGCTACCCAGAAGCAACTGCTGATACCCGTGTGTTGCATCTCCACACCCGTAGGCATGGCGATATGCTGTTTCTCTACCCCTCGAGCCCGGCTGGCTCCTCCTCGGAGACCATGGACACCTCTGTCTCCCAAGGCTTGCGGCCTGTGGGGGCCCCCCAGGTGGTGGAAGATGAGATCGACCAGTATCTGATCAAACAGGATGGGAAGATTTACCGAAATCGAGACCAGCAGCTGTAAGTATGGGTGGACTTTGTTTCTGCCGATGCATCTGTGCCTCACCAGGGCTCGTAACATCTTGTCTGAAACCAGCAGCCAGGAAATGTGCTGTGGGAACTACCCTCTGAGCCCCTGCTTTATCCCTCACTGCCTTTGAAACGTTCACAAGGGAAAACAGTCCTTGCCATTGTCCTGGAAGGTTAAATCGAGCCCTGGTGAGCTGAGGAAGGAAGGATACCAAAATCCCAGGGTCTTTGCCAGGAAGGACTCATTCAGAGCATCTATTGTTCTGATCAAGGTGGCCCCTGCTATGGGACTTGCGATCGTATATTTTGTGCTCCTAAAACTTTTGGAGCTCTCTAGATTTAAATCAATACTTTGAATACTTCCCCGGGATGTCCCGCCAGCCGCTGCTGTGTAGAAATCCTGGATTATGCTCTGTGTGTGGCATATTGCTTAATAAGCAGGAGCCTGCTGTCTGCAGGAGCTCCCGTTCCGTATGGTCTCGATGTGCAGCTCCCTGTTGTTCGGGTCCCGAGGTGAGGGGCTGCGTCTCGCAGGAGGGAAACGCGCTGGGGGCCGGAGCCGCTGCCCCGGCCTCCCCCAGGCGGCAGCGGGTGAGCGTCAAGGTCGGGGTTGTTCTCTGAATCGCAGGCAGCTCCTCTGCCAGTGGAGAGCTGAGCTCTGCTGGCTTTTCGGGCAGCCTCTGCCTGCGTGGGCACGAGCCTGCCTCTCCGTCTGCGGCCTCTCGGCTGGGACGGCCCAGGCAGGAGCGCTTCTGCCTCTTCAGATCCAGCCTCTCCTCCCAAAGGGAAAACCACAGCAGTGAAGGGAAGGAGTGGAAGTGTGTAACAGCAGAGACGTGGAAGTGGGGCTTGGGTCTCTGCCTGCTTGGCTTTTGGCTTCCTTTCCATCACGTGCCTCTCTTAAACTTTCTGTGAAACCAGGGAGTCCATTTTGCTCACGGAAACGCGGCAAAGTCTGGCTTTGCCAAAGCTCTTAGCTGCAAGAGGCTTAGGTAAACAAAGCAGCTTGTATTTTTGGTAAAAGTAATAATACAATGGTGAGTTAATACCACCGTAAATCTAGACTGATGTTGCGAAAACCTCCTCTGTCTGGATGGTTGTTTTTTATTGCTCATCATTAACGACGTCCCAGTTGGCTCCTGGCCCAATGTCTGCACTGGTTGTTGGCTTGGGGCTGGACCCCTCTGCAGAGGTAACTTCTGAAAGGGCTGAAAATTTTAAAGGCAACCAGGAATTCTTTCTAAATTCTAAAACAGAATAGCTCGCCCTGCCCCATTGTGTTGTCTTCCATATGGTTTATCTTTACTGCTGCAGCAGCGAGGAAGTTTGGAGAGACGGAGCCTTTACGTGGAAAATCCTATCTAACCTTTTCAGGCTGATGATAAATAAGGGAAATGTCACATTATTGAAACAATAAAGGCAAACCCCACCACTCCATGGCAAAAACATTGTCTTTAACTTGACCACATTTTTCAAAAGAATAAATGAAGGTATTGTTCTTAGCAGGGAACCAAAGCACAGTGGTGGATATTTATGATAAAAAGAGTGTGTCTGGGCTTGTTCCTGTGTTTGTGAGTGCATATCAATCTAAACAAGAAGGGATGCTGGCGGTGGGCTGAGTGCATTAGCAGCCTTTAGTGGCCCTTTATGTACATTATCTGCCGCAACGCTGGGTTAAAAGCAATGCTGCAACTGGATCCCATCCATTTTGTCTTTACAAGAGCATCCACGCTCCTCTCTAGAGGCCTACCCTTGAAAACTAGCACTGACCTAGTGCTGGGGCAGAGGGGGGGACGGACTGACTTTTTGTTTGTTGGTTTGTTGGGGGTTTTTTTGTTTGTTTTAAAGCGATCACCTCACAAGGAGATGTTTTCCCCCTCAGTTTTGTAACTTTACCCAGCGGGTCTTTATCTGTCTGATAAACACATGCTTCCCTGTTTGTTCCAGACCATCCTCTAGTGACTGATAAAGGATGAATGTTTTAGTTGTCTTTTTGTTACAGGCCCACAGGCCAGCCCTGTGACGTCGATTTAAAATTCTTTGAATTGAAACGTGACCCCAACACGGGGTTGTAAAACTTGAGAAGCTGTGATCTGACATCGCTTCACGTGGCTGTTCAGAGAGCAGAGCCGCTTGCCAGCGACACAGGCATCAGGAGGGTTTGATCTTGACCCGGGACTCTCAGATTTAACCCGAAGCCGTTGCTGTCTCTTTATGTGAAATTATCTTGTGGTGACCCCTCTGTAATATTCCCTAGTGGGTGGAGGGTTGCTGGGAGCCGTGTGATTGTACGGATCCTCCACACCAAAACTGTTAAGAGCAACTTTTACAGTCTGACTTTTCCATTATCAAACAAGATTTCACGCTACTTCTCTTCCTCTTTGCACAGGTGTCGCCACGGCCCCTTGGGTAAATGTGTGCATTGCGTACCGCTGGAGGTAAGAGCCCCGAGAACGTGCTCTGGAAAGTCACACAATGTCCTCCTGGATCCAGTTCCTTCCACTGTGAACGCAGCTCTGGGTCAGGATCCTGCCGTGCCCTGTAAAAGGTGCCGGCTCGCACCCAGGATCACTAAAGCCTCCGTGACGCTGGGTCGGTTCTGGTTAATGCCCTGGGTTTTGGCAGAAAGGGGTTTAACGGGTGGTGCTTTAGGAAAGCTCCAGTTTCCCTCCCTCTTCACTCTTGCCTCTTGTCTTCTTATTTCCTCCCCTCTCACGGATCCCAGCACTTCCCAGTTTAAACCATGTATTATTAGGTAAAAGGCAGCTTTAGTAACGCCTACAACTGTGCTGAGCTGTGTAATTTACGGCATGAAGCAGTGATCCCTCAAAAGTCGCTGCGAGCGAGGATGGCTGTTCCCCCCCCGCTTCCCTGCCGTGTGCTCTGCAAGTTTTTTTGGCCTTGTTTGAGCAGCTGGGGTTTTTTTTGTTTGTTTGTTGTTAGATATTGAAAGGGAAAAGCGTTTTGCCTTTGAGGCTCGTTCTGATTTGTGGAGCCAATCTGTTACAAAAGTAGGAGGCGATAATAAAACTGGCTGTTGTAAAGCCCCACTGTTTCTATCACGGTAGTAGCTGCCTTGAAAATGAGCCTAAATTTTCTTGATTGTTTCCACATTGAGAGCCGGTGGGGTTGACTCTAGAACATCCATTTGTTTAGTGATCAATGTATTATCAGACAGGTGTCTGACCTGGCTTTTCTTTGCGTGGTGTTTTTGGCAGCCTTTTGATGAGGATTATTTAAACCATCTGGAACCTCCTGTGAAGCATATGTCCTTCCATGCCTACATCAGGAAGCTGACCGGAGGGGCAGACAAGTAAGAAAATCTCTGTGTTTAAGGAAATCTAGTTGTAGCTTCTTTTTTTTTTAAATACAAATGAAAGTACAGGCGGAGCTCACCAAATTAGTGTTGGATACAAGTATTGAATGGCAAACTGAGGAGAAAACAACACGTGAAAAGAAAAGGAAAAAAGGCTGGGGGAAAAAAAATGAATTTTTTTTTTTTTTTGTGGCAACGTAATTGCTTCCAGGAGACACTACTGATGGGGGGAGAAGGCCAGATGGAAGGAAAGAGGTTCCCTAATTATATCAAGCTCCAAGCCTGGGTCTCAGACCTCGTGGAGAGGCTATGAGGCTGTGGTGGACTTGGAGAACCTTTATTCACCAGTGGCTTTTCTTACCTACAGACGTGAACAGGAGACAGGGACGAGCCTGACATTCCTCAGGGCCTGATTCTGCTCTGTCCCATGCTCTGTGTGCGCTTGGTGAAACCCTTTCTTGTCATGGTGCCGTAGTTCACTGCCCACAAACTGGAAAACAAGGTGTCCTGCCCCGGGTGGAGGGTGCTGTGGTGACCCGGGCCAGATAAGTGCTGAGCAGAGAGGAAGTGCTGGAAGAAGTATTTATTTCTTTACGCCTCGCTGTGGCGCGTGTGTTCAGCGAAGGATCTAAAGTCCCATTTGGAGATGTCGGGTAACCCGCTGTGTTCTGAAGTGCAGCTCCTTTAAATAAGTTCTGCAGAGGTGTAACCTTCTCCCTCCTATCCCTAAATGCCATTGGGATTTTTTTAAAGGTCTTTGTGAAATGCAGCTCCAGTCCGTAATACTTTGATTTGAAGGGAACTTCCCTTTGCAGGAAGCCTTGTGCACATGAAAGGAACTCTCATTCACCCTAGCAGTATAATCTATTACTTCCCACGTGCTGCGTAAATTATTTAAGCAGGGTCCCGTGAGTTTTCTGTCTCTGCTCTTGCTCGAATATCTGCTTAGGAGCTGGCTCTGGGAGCACGTGTCGGCCTCTTGACCTCCCTCGCTCAGCAGGCAGCAGGGGTTACTCGGGGACTGCAGGAGCCAGGCGTCCCCCCGCGGGAGTTTGCGGGGCGCTTTGAGATCCTCTGATGACACAAAGCATTCTCCTCTGCCCTACTCCACAATATTTCTAGCCGCTTGCTTTTTTTTTCTTTTTTTTTTTAAGATCCAAAAGAATTTACTGTGGTAACAGCAGCTTTCTCTTTTCCTTCTCGCAGGGGGAAGTTTGTTGCCCTGGAAAACATCAGCTGTAAGATCAAATCGGGCTGTGAAGGGCACCCTCCTTGGCCAGAAGGCATCTGCACAAAGTGTCAGCCAAGTGCCATCACTCTCAATAGGCAGGTGAGAAGCAGCTCGCAGGAGCCTTTGTGCTTAAAGCTGAGAGGGGATTTGACCTTTATTTTTGGAGAGATGACTTCAGGAACAGCCAACTTGGAGCAAGAAGCCTTTGCGTATTGGCAGTTGTCAGGGAAATGGCTGTTAAGGTCTTCAGTCCTTGGAGAAAAGGTCTCCAGAACGTATCTGGCTCAGCAGTTTCCTCTTAATATGGAGGACATCTGAGCTGGCACCGCTATGATGAATCCCCACGCTTTTCCCTCACGGGATCCAAAAGACCACCCACTGTTTCTTCTTGTTTCCTCCTAGATTTCAGTGTCTGGTTTTTTGAGATGCAAAGGCTCTCGGGGTAAGGGCCCTCGTAAAGAACCCGAGTTATTGGGGTGCTGGGGGTGCTGAGTGCTTCCCCACGCTCCAGCCTGTGGAGCCCCCAGTGTAGGGGGGGGTGCAGAGGAGGGTAACCAGGCTGGGGAAGGGCCTGGAGAATAAATCCTGTGAGGAGCCAGGGAAGGAGCTGGGGGTGCTCAGGGTGAGGAGGAGGAGGCTGAGGGGAGCCCTCATCCCTCTCTGCAGCTCCTGACAGGACACTGCAGAGAGGCTGGGGCTGGGCTCTGCTCCCAGGGGATCAGGGACAGGACAAGAGGGAACGGCTGGAAAATGCCCAGGGGAGGGTCAGGCTGGGCAGGAGGAGAAAATGTTTCCCAGCAAGAGTGGTCCGAGAGTGGAACAGGCTGCCCGGGGAGGGGGGAGTCCCCATCCCTGGGGAGGTTTCAGGGCCGTTAGGATGAGCTGTGGGGTAGGGGAGAACTTTGTAGAGTCGGGCTGAGGGTTGGACTCGCTGATCCCGAGGGGCTTTTCCAACCTGAAGGATTCTGGGATTCTGTGGTGGGCCGGGGAGCGGTGCTGAGGGGAGGGAGGGAGGCAGCGAGAGCCTTCCCTTGTCCTGGCTGCGGCAGGACTCAGCCGTAAGGGGTCGTGGGGGGTGTCCTGGGCAGCTGGGAGGCGTTGGGGATAGGCAAAGCGAATGCACCCGGTCGAGGATGGCCTGACGCTTGAACTTTGTCGAACAGAAATACAGGCATGTTGACAACATCATGTTTGAGAACCACACAATTGCAGATCGCTTCCTCGACTTCTGGCGGAAGACAGGAAACCAACACCTCGGGTACCTCTACGGCCGGTACACGGAGCACAAGGACATCCCGCTGGGGATCCGGGCGGAGGTTGCTGCCATCTATGAACCCCCACAGGTAAAAGCTTGGGTGTCGTGGCCTCTGCGTCGTGTCGACTCACAGTCGGGGGACGCAGAAACGCTTTTGTGTTCGGGAAACCTCGTGCAGGATTTCCGACTGCAGCTCCGTAAGGAAAACGGTGCCGTGAAAGAGGTGGTGTGATTTATGTCTTTTGTGGTTTATCGCCACCGAAGGAATTTTAAACCCCAGATTTGCTTTTTGTTATTTTCTTGGGGTTTTTTTACATCGCTTTTTGCTCAGATGATTTAAAGCCAAGGAGACTTTGTAACGGTGGATTTCACTTTTCACGTTTCCTTGATGACAGATTTCCAGGGCTGTGGTGCAGAACAGCTTGAAAACAAATTCTGTACGAGGGATAAAAAAAAAAGTTGCGGCCCTTGCTTCAATTTCTTATCAGCTAGCTCTCCGGGAAAACTTAAGCAGCTTAATTAGACAAAAATCGAGAGGCCGAGGATGAGATTTGATGCCTCGGAGCAGCTGGAGTCCCCACTAGATGGTGCACGGCACCGCGCAGCCCCGCGCCCGGCACCGCCGCGTCCTCCCGGGAGGCTGCGGCCGGAGCGCGCCCCGCTGAGCCGAGCTGCCCAGGGAACCCAAAACCTGAATTCGGTGTCAGAAAAACCGAAAACGGAGGTGGCAAATCCAAAAAGCCACTCTGCCCACGACACAAGGCTCGGCTTGGAGTTGAGTTTGCCTACTGGCTTCTTCACCGCTGAGCAAAGTCGCTCTGCTAAGTGCAGACACTGGGTATACAAACACGTCGCGGTGGGTCGCATGTTTTCTTCCTCTGGCTGACTTCTGCAGGGTTGCTAGAGGGAAACGCAACAGATCTGTCAGTGGAAAGACAGCAAATGGAGCTTCGGGAGTGTGTGTGCGAGAGCAGCATTGCAAACCTTTTTATAAGTTCTTCCTTTTCTTTGCAATGCGAGCAGAGCCGTGCCCTTTATTGTTTCAGCGTCGCTGTCACGGCTCTGGAAGTTCATATGCTTCTAGTTGTGCACGGTAAAAGCGAGGGGGCTTTTGCTCTCCTGGCGAGCAGGCCCTGCTGTGCTGCTTGACACGGCATCTCCCCACACGAGGAAGCTCGCCTCTGAAACGCACCCAGATGGAGTCGTGTTTGCCAGAGCGCGGGGGGAAGGCCTGGGCGTGGGCTCTTGGATTCACTGGATTTCTGCCTCTCTGCTGCTCAGAGATTCAAACAAACGCAACGGCGGTACAAAACCAGCAGGTTGAACTCTGAGCTTTGGAAAAATTATATAATCTCTCACTTTTTCCAAAGCGCTCGGAAACAGCGATGGCCCGTTTGTAAATGCTGAGTCTTTCATTCATAAACCCCGATGTAGTTTGCAAACGCAGCTTGAAGAGCTCGGACAGGATGGGTCTGTGAGTAGGGGAGGTCTCTGGGGTGAAACCAGTCGGTGGTAACGCCGAAGGGGAAACCCAGGGCCCTGCTTCCACCCTCCGCCTCGCTCCTGACAGTGGCCAAGCGTGCTGTGGTTTTTCCTGTTTCTGTCTTACTAGCAAGTTTTTTTGCTGCAGATTGGTACGCAGAACAGCCTGGAGATCCTGGAAGATCCAAAAGCTGAGGTTGTGGATGAGATCGCTGCAAAGCTTGGACTCAGAAAGGTTAGGATGTTGTCGGATCTCACGCGTCTTTGTTTGGCAGTGAAGAAGGTCGGCGGCGGTTCTCTTAAGCTCCACGGGGTTATTCAAGACCGTTTGGGCAGATCTGAAATCTAGCTTAAGTGTCAATAACTCTTACACTTTTCGGTACGAAAAAACAAAATGAAAGCCTTTTCCTGAGCTCAAGCATCTAGCAGGGCTGTGCAGCTGAAGTCAGGAGTTCTCTGTCATGAGTGACATCAAAGGGAGTAAGCGAAGAAGCAGAAACACCATTTTCACTTCAATTCTCCTCAGATAGGAGCCGTTCCTGGTAGCATCTCCCCGGCGAGTGCTAATTTGGCACAGATGTAGCTGGAGTTGCCTCCCGAGTTTGTTCTTTTGACAGAATCTGTGCTCCACTTCCAGGAGCGGAGGCTTCGGCTTGTTTTTTATTCTCCTCCGTGGGGTCCTGCCTCTTGGTGTGGCCGTAGCCAGTTAAGTTGTCCGTTGGTTTTAGAGGTGCAGGCACCCGGCAGCTGAGCCTCAGTCCTCTGTTCCCCTCACGTCTGCAGCCAGTCAATCGACCAGGAGCTGCGGGAGGTGGGATCCGCTGGTTTGCTGCCAGCTCTCAAACCTCTGGGGATATTTTCCGGTTTGGGAAACCTTTTGGTATCGTGTGAGTGCCAGGGATGAGATGTACACAAACAAGATTTGACTTGCTAAAGAAAACACAAATCAGAAACGACTCGGTACAGTAGACTATAAACATCTGTGGTGAGGTCTTTTGTTCTCTGAAGATAAGATCTTCAGCTTTTTGCCAGTGTCTGAAGCAAAGCTTCTGTGTGTGTTATTTATTTCCATGCTTTTCCTCTGCTTCTCACATGAGATATTTTTTAATCGGTACGACTTCGCACGGAACTTAACTGCTGGTTGCAGATTTTTCTCTGGGCTCTGCTAGGACTCTGAATCAGCAGTTCTTCCTCCGAAGGGTTAATGCTGTGGGAGCTGGTCACAGGGCTGGTTTTAGCACGTGTGTGTAGAAGGGTTCACGCAGCGGTGTGTGTGTACACATCTATACTCCTATGTGCAAACAATGCAGAAAGCAGGAATGTGTTTTTTGGATCGGAGCAGGCTCTGATTTGGAATGAATCATCCTCCAGTGGGAACATATGAGCTTTATCTTAACTAGTGACTGCGAGCTTCAAAATGAGATCATGTGAGCTGCTTTGTCATCCGCTGGCGCTCCCGGTGCTGCTCTGCTCTGAATGCTCAATAGGAAATGCTTTTTGCTGTGGGTGGGAGGAGGTAGCGGCTGAGAGGCCTCTTGCAGCCTCCAGATCTTTCCATGAAAAAATATTCCATAGTGAAACATAAAGCTGCAGGTGCCCCCGGCCGGCCAGCTGGCATGCTGCTCCTGGAAATCGGATTCAAATGAGCCCGGCACAGCTGGGAGAGCCATTTCCTTCAGGCAGCGTACAGCAGGGCCCTGCGAGGAGCCAAGAACATCTTGTCCTGCTAGGAGAAAATGTATAAGCTCTCTTCTGGTTTGGGTTGGTTTTGGGTTTGGGTTTAGTGTTTTGGTTTTGGGTTTTTTTTTTTCCCCTTAAAGCAACTTTCTTCATAACACTTCTTTATAGGTTGGCTGGATATTCACTGATCTGGTCTCTGAAGACACACGGAAAGGGACTGTTCGATACAGCAGAAACAAGGTGAGATTCCAGTGTGCAGCTAATTCCAGCCGCTGGTACGGAGCGTTGGTGTCATCCCATAAACATGGGCTGTGCCGAGCCAGGGCAGCGCGGGTGACGCTGGGAATTCTGGTGAAATGGGGTTTTTCAGAAGCTTCTGACGGAAAAGGAGCTGGAGCTGGAGGTTGAAGCTGTTGGGATAGCACACAAAGCTGCCTGCCCTCCTTCGCCCACGCTGCTTAAAGAAAAGGGTGCTCGTGGTTTAAGAAAATTGAGTGGAACAGAGGGAACGGGGTGGTGTGAGGTGCAGGCACAGCGAGCAAAAGTGACTCAGAGGATGTATTCACGGGCTGGGCTTTGTGAGATAGACGTGGCTCAAACTTTGACCTGCTCAGCTTCCCGTAATTCTAAAATCAGTGCTAGCCCTATTTGGAAAATGAAACTCTGGGTTTGGTTTTTTTTTTTAAAAAAAAAAAAAAAAGGTGTGTAAAGGTGGGTGGAACTAGAAGCGGGACAGTCCTGCTGGGGAGCTGACATGTCACATTCTTCTCCCCGTCTCTGCAGCAACTTTCTACGAAAGCATGTTTTACTGGGGTGTTGGTAGTTTTCCTTGGCTGCAGCCCAGGGAAATAGGTCTAGGCTACATCGCCTTGTCCTTTTTATTGACGTTTCTGCTCTTCCCTCAGGACACGTATTATCTAAGTGCGGAAGAGTGCATCACAGCTGGAAACTTTCAGAACCAGCAGCCCAACATCTGTCGCCTTTCTCCAGATGGTCATTTTGGATCCAAGTTTGTCACAGTTGTGGCTACAGGTATAAACTGGCCTCGGCTTGCCCCGGCTCTCTGGGTTACACATGAATTATCTCTCATTAATAGAAGAAGAATATGCAGCTCTGCCAGAAGTCAGACGTCCTGGTCCCCATCTGTCCTATTTAACAAGGGGTTTTGCCTTGCTCTGTCAAGTAAAATCCTCTTTCATTCTTTGTGCTATCTCCTCTACGATTATTTACCCTGTCCCCTGCAGGAAACTTAATTGAGGCTCAGACCTGAAGCACCCACCTCTGTGATCCGTAAAGCTTTTTTTTTTTTTTTTTTTTTTTTTTTTTTTTTTTTTTTTTTTTGCCTGCGGCCAAGGGAATAACCGTTTCTCCCTTTTCTGTTTCGAATCTTTAAGCTCCAAATTCCGTTGCCTGAAAGCGGCAGTGCAGAACCACGGCACTCCGGATCCTGAAAGTTACTCTGGCTGGTTCAGCATAAAGGAGGGACCTTTATCTCCCTTGTGTCGCTGTCAGGGAAACCCTTACGCAGGATGCTGTGCTCTTCCGTGCATGGAAACATTTTTTTGTTTGCCTGAATAAAACAGAGAAGCCTGCAAAATGCTTTCTTTGCTTTGTCACCTCCGATTATAGGCGTTTTCGCAGCAAGCCTCGGGAGGCACTGTGGAATAGTCGGCGCTGCCCGGGCTGCGAGGGGAGATGTTGGCAGCGCTGGGAGAGTTGTAGTGTTAGAAGTTCAATCTGCTCTTCTCCGCGGGATGACACATGGATTCAGTTAAAATTTCCCTGGAGCAGATAACGCTGCGTTCCGGGGCTGTTTAGCACAATGAAGAAAACGCGTGACTTCCAAATAGCATCCAATGTCAAAACTGAAAGTGTGATATTATATTGCCTCCTCGGAGCCCAGGTTTTGTAAGAGTTCCCGGAGCCTTTTTCGGTGAAAATGCTCTTTTTCAGTTAACAGGCCCGTGCACTCAGACAGCTGCCCATACATTCCAGACTGCTAAACGCAGCCATCTTTCATTAAAGATAGATGTGTATCACGCTTGCCCTTTTTAAAAATTTATTTCTGTTTTTTGTTTGGGTTTTTTTTTTTTTTCAAACAAGGTGTTTTACTGTGAAAATGATGACTGGCTTTGTTTAGGCCTTCCCCGTGTCTTGGTCAATGTTTAATTTCTAGGAGTGTTTGTTCTGGAGCAGTGAGTGATTGAGGTTAGAGATCAAAGGGTAGAAAACGAATATTTCCTCTTTTCTGTTCCAGGTAATTTCATTCTCTTCTGTTAAATCAGCCCATCAGGTTTCTATTTAAACACTTGATTCCTTCCTTTTGTGCCGTATAAATATATTTGGATAGTTTGCATCGACTTTGCCTTTAAATCCTCGACGTGGATTAATTCCTATCCCCTCCAGAATTCCTAGGTTTGGAAATAGTAACGTTTTCCTACCATCTGTCCGTATCTTCTCTTTCCAGTTGTATTCTAATGACATATGACCTGACGTTGCTTACTTTATCCAAATTAAAGCGCCAAGCATGTGATCTATCAGCGAGCCAGGGTCTTAATTTCCACTTTCCATGTCAGATTTCCACCAGGCCATCTATTACAGGCTGACAAAACGCTTTTTCTTCTTACGCCTGACATTACTAAGGGACCAACCCCGAATGGTTCCTTGGATACAAAACAGGCCCCCAGGAGCTGTGTGCCTGGTTTTCGTTAGGAAAGAGAGAAGATACCTGCAGGGAGGTGGGAGGGGGACGCTCCCAGGAGCCTTTCAGGAGGAGAGCTTCGCCTCCTTTGAGCTCCTGGCAGAGTGCTCTTGCTGTCACTCCAGAGGTCTGTCCTGTTAGGCTAGCTGTGAAAACGTGAGGTACTAAATAAATGTAGAATTTAGCAGAAGTTCTTGCCTAGAAGTGCTTCCCGTGCAGCAGCACCAGCAGTCTCACCTCGCCACCCTTTGTTCTCGGCCGGACCGCTGTGTTTAACGCTGCTCTTTGAGTCGAGCCTCTCGGGGTTACGCCGGGCGAGTCGCTTTCGCGTGGGATTTTGAACCAACCTCTTCTCTTCCAGGTGGTCCCGACAACCAGGTCCACTTCGAGGGGTACCAGGTCTCGAATCAGTGCATGGCGCTGGTGCGGGACGAGTGCTTGCTGCCCTGCCGAGATGCGCCAGAGCTGGGCTATGCCAAGGAGTCCAGCAGCGAGCAGTACGTGCCTGATGTGTTTTACAAGGTAAGGGCTGCGTGCTGGGCTGGGGGAGCTGCAGAAAAGTCTCTGCCGCGTGGCTGGAAATCGGTACGGCCGGCTCAGGAAAGGATGTCTTTGAGGTCTGAACTATTTTCAGTAGTAACCATTCGCCACATGTCTGCAAAGTAATCGCACAAGCTCCGTTTCCCCCTCATAAATGCGCTGTTACGGTTTCCGGTGCAGCGGTAGCCACTGGCTATCCAGCTTCTAAACGAGGCCCGCAGTGATCCACCGAGAGCCTGCAGCAAGTGCTCTGACCTCGCCTCCCCTTCCCTGTTTGTTGGCAGTCTTTGCTGTGCTTCCCTTCATTTTAATTTTTTTTTTTTTTTTCCTGGCTCTG